TTGTCCTGTTTCATTGCTCTTTGTATCTCTTTATATATCTTAATTAGTGAGTATTCAGAGTAGGCATTTGAAAGCATAATTAGTGTGTGGAGTTCATTATAATATACTGTCAGCTACCTGACCATAATGATCTGTTTAGATGGGAGGACCTCTAATTTATTAAAGGAAATCCCAATTAGCAGTTATTAGACATGGTATAGAGTATCATACCAGACATGATTTAGAGTTTACAGATAGTGTAGGTTATGGATAGTTTTGCTCTAAAACCTGCTGATTGTTGTGTATTACACAGCTGGGGATTGGGATGAATGTTCTCCAGTACTTTTATGTTTTACAATATAAAACCACCAGCCTTTTATAGCTCACAATGGATGGAGTAAATCTTTACTTGCTCCTTTGCAACATTATTTGTATCTGTTCAGGCTTGTGTTTTGTGTTGTGTCACATGTCACATGTATCTGATCACTTTTGTCAAGAAGTGTAGTGACCAAGTTAATTCTGCGGCCGTAGTTTGACATGGAGTTACCACAAACATACAGTAAACCTATGGGCGGAAATAAAACTGGATATAAATTGTAGGGGAGAAGCATGGTGGAACAGTGGTTAGCATAGCTTCATCTTTGTGCTGGGGCACTGGGCTCATTTCATGAGGTGCCATTTATGTGGAGTTTGTATGGTCTCTCTGTCTTCGTGTGGGTTTTCTCTCACAATCTAAAGACATACTGAAGGTTATTGGCTTCTGTAAAAGTTGACCCTTGTGTCAGTGTCTGTGTTTATTTCTGTGTGTACCCTGTAGTAGACTGGCATCCCATCCAGCGCATATCCTCCTTTGCACTCAGTGGTTCCTGGAATGGGCTCTGGGTCACTGCAACCCTGAATCTGATAAGCAGTTATTGAAAGTGATGGTGATTTAATAAGTTGTGTCATGTCCAGGCCTTTTTTGAAAAAAAAAACGTTAAAACCCCATGGTTGATTATTTTCAACCACAATCGTTTTGTGTCCACTTTTCTTTTTAATATTTTAAGAGGTCTAGTGTACAGCATTACATTAGATATATTTTTGAGCAAATGAAAAAAAAAAATAGGATACTTGACCATTTGCTCAAAAATAACCTAAACTTGAAGCTCTTTTTCTAGTTTTCAAGACTTCATCTGGATTATGTAGCATGACAGGAGACATTGAGCGTTGAAAGTGGACCAGATGCCTGGAGAACTGTGTTCAGATTTCAGGCTCAAACAGGAAAGGCTGGAATGGATAGTGCATTTTCAGGGAAACATGATTATTAGTCCATATATACATAGAGAGAGACTGAGTGAGGGACAGATGTGGAATGATGAATTCATATTTAATTAATACCATACCAGATGCTTTAATATGACTTTATTATGAAAATGTGGTTATTGTTGTTTTGGTTCATGCTAGGCATCTGCTGTAAACTTTATCAGTTTGTGTCTGCCTCCCGATTCCTAAGGGAACAGCTGGGGGATGTGCCACTGGCATCTATAAACTGCAAACTTGGTGTGAAACTGAGCATGTCTCACATTTCAAGCCGCCACCCTCACATGTTCAGAAAGTCGGTGCTCTGCGTTCGTATGGAGCTCTTAGAAATAAACAGTGCGTGATACCAAACCAAAACCATCCTGCACATTTTCGCATTTATGGATGAAAGATTTTTATTCTACCACGGGAAATTAAATGGATAGTGAGTAAATTCTAAAGTTAAATAGCCTTTCTGGTGGACTGAAGGCACTGTGGGTTTGCTTCTGTCTTTAAAAAAGCAACACAAGACATATTGAGCTGTCATCAGTCCTTTGGGAAATGCAAAGCATCTGTGGTTGCTGCCTTCTGGCTCCACCGTTTCTATTTCACACATGTCTGAGGAATATTAACCCCAGGCCCTGTAATGCACTTGGCATCAAGAGCACAAGGTAAGAGTTTCTGCAAGGGCGAAGCCCTAAGTACTGTATGCTATCTTAAAGTTTCAGAGAAAGTCTAGCATAACACTTCACTGTGTTGTTACTTTCTATATCTACGAGTCCACAATAGTTGAAAAAAAAAACAATATTCAACTAGCAGGTTGTTAGAGTGAATAAAAAACATGTCTCCTATTCTTTCTAATCCCAGTAAATATGACTTTATCTGTAGCTCACAACACTGGCCCAGAAGACCAATATGAAGGCAATACACACATCCCTGGAGGTAGATTTACAAAACCATCCACTTGTTTTCACACAGTGCACCAATAGTGTAAGGAGCTGTTACTCTGTGAATGAAGACAAACACCTCAGTGGGGAGGAGAATAGAGTAATAAAGCCACTTCATAGATGGAGATGATTAGGAGGACATGTTTGGTAAAGGCCAGGAATCAATTTGGCAAGGACACTGGGGTAACACCCCTACTCTTTTCAAGAAATGCCCTGGGATGCAATTTCCCTCACGGGATCAATAAGTGATCTATCTACTGTATCTGGGATTTTTAATGACCACAAAGAGTCAAGTTTTAAGTTTTACCTCAGTTTACGTGTCATATGAATGACAGTGCCTTTTTTACAGTGCAGTGTCCCCATCACTATACTGGGGCATTAGGACCCACACTTTCTATTGGTCCCACTAACACCTCTTCCAGCAGCAACTGGCCAATGGAATCGTTTCCACTAGCTGTTATGATTTTTCTATGTAAGTAAAGTTAAGACAGCTCTCCCGCTTACATAGTTTAACATCTTTCATTGCTGCTTATTTGTAACTTTATATAATTGATGGAATTTTCCATTTCACACACTGCATACATGTGACTCAATCCTTAGCTTTAACTAAGGGAAAATATGTCCTGTGTTCAGTCAATTGTACAACACTAGTTAAACACACCTTGAACAACAACAACAACAACAACAACAACAACAACAACAACAACAACAACAACAACAACAACAACAACAACAACAACAACAACAACAGTTTCATTTGAATTGAATCGTTGCTGTTTGCTGTTAAACTAAACTAAAAACTAAAAGGTGTCTATCAGATTGTTTCCCAAAAACTAGTAAAAAGAATTAATCAGTTTTTCCAATTCGCCAGTGGCCTTAACAAACCCAGAACTCCTTACTCGAAATAGAATTCAAAGTACAGCATTGATGGAGTTAATGTTTAACCAGTAGGGGGAGCTTCCGACAATCACTCTTGAAGAATAAAAGAGAAACGGTTGTTTTCAAAAAGTTATATTAGTGGTAAGTTTATTTACATTTATTGGTGTGCTTTGTAACCGCCTGTATATTATCTTTGTAAAACAAACCTAGCGACCTCGATATATAAACAACTTTGTATTTCTTTCCACAATAACTGTTATAACGAAATACAATTTATTTATATACATATTCTAATAAATAAAAACGACGTCGCACAAAACTGCATGTAACTGGAAACTAGTTCTGTTCTGTAGTAAACGTCCATAGCGTTTGTTTAGCAAACGTTATATAATACGAAATCACTATCCATGAGGAAACAGCTCGAATAATAATAATAATAATAATAATAATAATAATAATAATAATAATAATCTAACATAGTACTACGGGTTATAGTTTTGTTTGTTGAACTCACAATTATTCGCTAGTTCACACACTGCATTAAATGTGCTGAGTCATGATAAAGGCTTAAAGCGAGTTCTCCGTTCACTCTCTGCGCCTTCCTGAGTAAGGAAGTGCAGCACGTTTCAAAGCCCTCTGACGACTATTTTGTGCGACTTCAAAAGCTCACTTTTGTTTTCACGTGTTCGTGTTGACTGTTTGCAGACGTCTTTGCTGTTTGGACAGATAATTTTGTACGGTGCAGTACGAGGACCTTTCACGCTGATTCAGCAATCAAAGCATCAAGGTGACGCATTGGACAAGGAAGCGTAAAGAGGAAAGACGCAAACGGGTGCTTGAGGAGTGTCTGAATCATGGTGTAAATCCAGAATTAGAATTTGTTAAGTGACGAGTTCAGAGTTTTGTTCCAGTATAATGAATGTGTTCCTTTGTGTGTTTTTAGTAATCCCTTATGCGGCTACGTAAAGTTTTAGTGTAAAATACAGTCAAATGTAAGACTGCAGAATAGGAAATACATGTGAATTCTCTAGTATACTGTATATGCACCCTTACCTGAAAGGTGCTATCTTATTCTCATTGATATATACAGTATATATGTTTATGCTTTTTTCTTAGCAGCTGCTACAAGAATGAATAGTGAAAACTTTAGCATCAGTGAAAAGATCGTATCCTCCTCTTACATACGCCAGGGTGCGCAGGCGCGACGTGGCCACGAGCAGCTGATACGACTGCTACTCGAACAGGTAATGCCGTATTATGAATTTTATATGATGTTTATTGTGTCCTTATTAAGCTTTTCTTAAAATCCGTCCTTCTTCCAGCTTTTTAGAAAAATCAAATGCCGTAGAGTAGCATTTCTGCAGACGCATATCTAATACAATATAACAAATGATCACCTTTTTAGCCTTTTTGTACAGAGTAGAACTCTTATTTCAAATAATCAACCACTGTCTATCGGGAGATGTTTTTCTTGGTGGACCTGTGAATTGAATGTTTTTTTTTTCTTTTCAATGCCACATACACTCTCAGGGTTGAAAAGAAAGAAAAAAATTAGGCAATTTGAGGAATGTTATTGGATATTGCCAAATACTACTGTGTTCTTATTTTAATTTAGTTTCTCTGAACGGCTTCATTTCCTCTAAAATATCATATTTTGGGAAAACTGGCCCTAAACAAGGCACTAAAAGCTTTTGTGAACCACAGTGCAAATACTGTTAAATGGGCTTTCCAAATAAATAACTTCACAAAAGAATAAAAGAATAAGAAATGTTTTATTAACTTACTTTTTTGCCATAAATATTTTGAAATAGACATTTGAAATGCTTTCCCTTTTGTCCAATTAAGGGAAAGTGTCCTGAAGATGGATGGAGTGAAAGCACTATTGAGCTCTTTCTCAATGAGCTTGCGGTTATGGACAGTAACAACTTTCTTGGAAACTGTGGGGTTGGAGAAAGAGAAGGAAGAGTTGCATCCGGTCTGGTGGCCCGAAGACATTACAGGTAAGCTCTGGGCATGTCTTGACTCTGAAAGCTCACACCTGAGCAGGTAATATTGCACTTCACGCTAAAAAAGCATGAGTCTTGGTTATCAAGCGGTTAGGATTCCTGGTTTTCACCCAGGCGGCCCGGGTTCGACTCCCGGTATGGGAACGTGTCAGTTTTGGGTGGAGCGGTGGCTCTGTGGCTAAGAATCTGTGACTGGAAGGTTCAAATCCCGCAGCCGGCAGAGGAATCCTACTCCGTTGGGACCCTGAGCAAGACCCTTAACCCCAACTGCTCCAGGGGCACTGTACAATGGCTGACCCTGCGCTCTGACCCCAAGCTTCTCTCCCTGTCTGTGTGTCTGTGTCTCATGGAGAGCAAGCTGGGGTATGCGAAAACACGAATTCCTAATGCAAGAAATTGTTTAGGGTTAATAAAGCAACATTATCATTACATTATTATTATTATCATTATTATCAATATTATTAAGCAATACAGAATAGAAAGACAATAAGGTGGTAAACGTGCAGACATCACTTTCAGTGAATAATATATAACAAAGCAGGCAACCAGTACATACTGTATGACATAATCCAATGAAAACTATATACAGAGTATTGCATTAAAAATTTATATACTCTTATATTAACAGTGTAGCTCAGTGCTTGATGCATGTGATAGATCTTTTTTTTTATTGTTGTTCAAGAGGTGATTGCAGTTCTGGCAGCAAAATTAATGCCTTTCCCTTGGAGTGAAAATGGACTTTGGAATTCACAATCAAATAAACTTCCCAGAGCAGTGCTCTGTTCAGACCTGGTTTTGCAGTGGAGTATGAGTTGTTTAGCAGAATCTTTTATTGCAAAAGACCTACAGAGAGTGTGGTGTGAGTTGTCACGGGCCTACTGTTGCTGTCACAGAGTCGACAACAATATGGTGGATCTGTGTTTTGAGTTACAACCCAATTCTTTCTTCACTTGACATTTGGGTCTGTGGACAAACATTGGAACATTTATGCCTTTAGCCTGTTGCTTCTTACTCTAAAGGGCAGATTTCTTTTTTTGTAGCAAAATTGTTTAATTCTGTGTCTAGTAAAACTGTGCTAAAGTACCCAAAGCTTGTCCTTGGGTCTGTACTCCATTAGTTGGAAATCCTGTAGATAATGGTAACTGGCTAGAAACTAAGGTAATTGTTGTAGAGTAAGATGCTGACATGTTTCCGTAAATAAAAAAACTACAGTAGGTGGTTGAATTTTATATTACACTCCCCTCTCCCCAATATCTGCTTCCATAATTTTTTAGAACTGGAGTTGGCTGCTAATTTAGACACACACCCAAATTGTCCAGATCCCTCTGGATTCACATGCTTGTCCACATTAATTTTAGTGAGACAAATATTCCAAGCAGGATGTTGGAACCTTAACCAAAAATTGGAAACAGTGAAAAGGTAGTCTTAATTCTGTAAGAAAAATATTTTTGCAGTTTTCTAGGGAGCAAACACATGTGACTTTGTTTTTGATAACTAGATACATTTTTGAAGATACCTTTTCAATCTGTAATTCAAAATAAATTCTAAATACTTCTTTGGAACAGGTGGAAGCACTATTTGTGTCAGGCTTATTTTTGCAAAACAAACATGTCACTGCCAGACAGTGATATGAAGAGACTGAGACGCTAGCTTGAGAGAGCACAGCTTTAATGCACTCATGACTGTTTTTAAAACTGATGCAAACAGAAAATTCCATTCACGCTCTATTTGTTTGTGACTGTGGAAGACACAACAAGCCTTAACTGGCAGTGAGTTCATAGTTTTAAATCACATGATTGAGATTCCTAGGCCTGTCTGATGCCATATCCTCTTGGATTCTCGAGTCAGGTTTTAAATGGACCATATTAAATACCACGGGGTCTGGCACTCCCCTTTACAGCAGTACAGTAGGTCTGCTGTTTAAAATGTAGTTATAAAAATTATATTTATTACAGATATAGAAAATAACATTTAAACATTGACTTTCATATTTATTCTGCTAAATGCTGTCTTGATTAACAACTTTTGTGGTAATTCAATCTGTATATAAAACAATATGAGCATAAAAGCAATAATTTCGACATAAACATGATTCAAGCTTTTTGCCTGTAATTATTTTTAAACACATCAGCACTTGTTTAGCTCAACACGGATGTTGTTGTTCAGGTTGATCCATGGAATTGGCCGATCGGGGGATATTGCTGCCATCCAGCCAAAAGCTGCTGGATCTAGCCTCCTCAACAAGTTGACAAATTCAGTAGTGTTGGACATTTTAAAGGTAGCAGGTACGTTCAGTTTTCTTACTTTTGTATTTAGGAGTGAGTAAAATCTGCGCGTAAGAAGAAAGTAAGAAATGCATCTGAATGCAATTAGAACATTTTTGGTGATTAAAAGGCTACTTTTTGTTATCTCCTTCACCTTAATCCTCAGAATAACATTTTGTGCTGAATGTGTTTGAAAATTGTGATTGTGAATGTGTAATACTGTTTTCATTCAGTTTTCACTCAGCATTGCTATAATTAAGAGGGTCAAAATAATAAAAAACTAACTTATGGACAGCATGGGCATCTACTTCCCATAATCTCTGTAAAGAGATCTCAGTTATTTCTAAAGCAGTCATCTAAAGATATAATCTTCAGGAGAACATCAAAGATTAGAGCTTTTATGCATTTAATGCAGTTAATGTTTTTCTTTCTGAAACCAAGCTTTATGAATGGTCAGTGTGTGAATAATTTACCAATATGTTTGTTGTTCAATTCCAGGAGTACGAACTGTCTCTAGTTGCTTTGTGGTTCCTATGGCTACTGGAATGAGCTTAACCCTTTGCTTCCTGACACTGAGGCATAAAAGACCAAAAGCAAAGTACATAATCTGGCCACGGATTGACCAGAAGTCCTGTTTCAAATCAATGATAACTGCAGGTGAAGTACTGCTAAATCCTTATGGAATTTTTGGTTTCAGGTCTTGTCCTTTATTTTTAATAAGAAGCTGAATACAGAGGCCACAGAAATTGAGAAAGTGAAGGAAAAGGCTATTAACTGGCTCTCTCAGTAATGGGTGCAGTATTGAAGGTAACAAAGAGACCTATGACACTTATACTTAACATATTTTAGGTTGTGAATTTTTTTGTAACGTGAATCATGCGTTTTTGTCAAATCTGTAGACTGGTTACATTTTGTGAATTTTCCGATGTGTTCCAGGATTTGAACCTGTTGTCGTTGAGAACTTGCTGGAAGGAGATGAACTGCGCACTGATTTGCAGACTATAGAGAGTAAGATACAGGAGCTTGGAGCTGAAAATATTCTCTGCATTCACTCCACAACCTCCTGTTTTGCACCTCGTGTTCCTGACAGGTACTTTGTCCCATTTTTCTGCTCTTTAATACAAGACAAATTAAAAGTAGATAAAGGGTTGTAGAAACATTCCAGATAGTTCTGCTGGCCTTGGAAATACCTGCATATTTAAATAATAGTCCCCTAGTCCATTAGCAGGTTAGCACAGCAACAGCACTACGAGGGAACACAAAGTTTTGGTTGTTGGGCCTTCTTCAGGTGTGTGAGAGAAGTAGGAGAAACGTAGGGATATAATGAAGGACATGCAGGACTGAGCACAGCAGGCGAGAGAGTGTACAGATTAATATAAATGTGAGAGAGCAGTGTGAAATTCTGACATTTTTTATTAAATTGAATTATTTAAAAATGAATTGCTCTTTCATTGCGAGTTGATGGAAAGTGTGAAAGATAATCAGAAATTATCATCTTTGGCTTCTGAGATCTTCCAGGAATAGGAGTCCAAGATTCTACAGAGACGGGCCTTTTCACATTTCTCCACTGCAGCCCCAATTGTTTGGTCTTTTTGCATTTTTACAAAGATGTTGTTTGACCACACTGGATGGTGAAATGACATATATGTTTTGGGATGACAGAGAGCGTAGTTGGAAAAATAATTTCCTTGAGAAGATGTGTGAATCTGTAAGTGCCTTAGTGCTACCATAATTGCTCTATTATCTATTGCAAAGTGTGCTGTGCTCTTAATTTTGCAGACTGGAAGAGCTAGCTGTGATGTGTGCAAAGTACAATATACCACACATAGTCAACAATGCTTATGGAGTGCAGTCTTCAAAATGCATGCATCTTATTCAGCAGGTAAGGTCAGGTGTGTGTATTTCAAAATCTAAAATGACTTATATTTTATAATGTGGCATTCTAACCAGATGGTGTACACCACTGACCTCCTCAATATATCAGTGTGGAAATAAACTCATTTCACACCATGCATCTCTCAGAATCTTAAACATTAAAGCAGATGTAAACATGTCACTGGACTGAAGATTACCCGTCATAGTTTAATGAATCATATGTGAAATATCAAATAGTATGTTTCTCATTGTTTTTTACAAATGCAAATTGCTATTTAAGTTTTTCTCTATTCCTTCTAATGAAGATGGGGTCCTGCAGATATTGGATACAAATTGAAAGTATCAATGGAAAGTCACTTAACAATGCATTTGGCCACCACGTTGCCAGTACGGAGTGGTCTATAGCTGTCACGCCCAGGCTGATGGTGCTTGCAGCCCGTTGTTGCCCTGGGATACCACAACATTCCCACCAGTGAACACATCCGAATACATTTAGGCTGTTTGTCAGTTTTCCCCTCACTTTATCAATCTTCTATTCAATCTTTCTATTATCCATCCAGGTTTTTCTATATAATCCCCATAATGCCACTGGAACAGTGCTCTGACATTTGAGCTTTTCTTGGCAGGGGTACATTCAGCCCTGTGCCAAGAGATGCTTCAGTTCAAAAACCAGAAAAGCCTTAGGATTCCAAGATCTGGAAACCTGAGACTTGAGATCTGCATCTGTCTGAAGCCGTGTCCGACCAGCACTGTTCCGGTGGCGTCTTCCCGCTACCGCCTGCCAGTCTGCCAATTCCACATTCTTTCCCTCTGTCCATCATAACTCTGCTTCTTCCCCGTTCATCCTTGGCTATCTCCGGCAAGTCCCGAATGCCTACAACCTCAGCTTCCTCCGCCAGCTCCCGAAAGCCACCGAATCCCTTCAGTTGGATTCCTGCCTGTCAGCTTCAACTAGCTGCAGTACAACAATAGCTGCTGGAATTCTGCAGGATGGCGTCAGGACCGTTCTTGCATGAGAAAGTCATTTAATGGTCGAAGAGGTGGAAAACGCTGTCACAGGCATCATTCCACAGTATCCCATAAATACTCCATTGGGTTCAGTTTCTCTAAGTGAGAAGGCTGTGACATATGAACATTAGTGTCGTGATCATCAAACTACTGAGTGACCACACATGCTCTATAAGGGACTTTGTCATCCTGGAAGACACCTCTTCTGGCAGTAAAGGAATGCTGCAACACTGAGGTGGGGGTCTTACTAAGCAGTGATTAGCACTGCCCTTACCTTGTAAGGCAATGGGTGCACCCAGTCTAAGGAAATGTGCCCCATAGCATTGGTGAACCACCAGAAGCCTTCATTGTTGGAGCCAAGCAATAAGGGTGTTGTAGAGTTCTTTAGGTTGGTGCCATGTGTTCACTAATCTTACGGTGTTCACTAAGACTGACTCATATTACATTTCATCACTGCTTAGTAATCCATTACCTGTTGTCTTTGCACTACTGGACTTGCAAATGTGCATTGTTAGGTGTGATGAATAGCTGGTGCACGCAACCCAAAACTGTCTGATGAAACCGTTTGCTCCTGCCCTAAGTTGAAATTTGTAGTCTCTTGATCTGCTTTTGCTCGCCTGTTTTGGCTTGCACTTCCAATTAATGTACAGATGTCACAGCCCAAGAGGATGCACTTCCACCCACTGTTGCCCATTGCTTCTGATGCCAAAATGGAACTCTTGAGGGAGAGACATCACCTTAAACACCACTACCATGAGACATCAGCCAGTTGATTTTTTTTGTTCATTGGAGCTTCTGCGAAATATCCTCCAACAATCACCTCTCTTTCAAAGTCACCGAAGCGTCCTCTTCAAGCTACGCTTCCCATAATTATACAGTACATGACCCTGGGCATGCTGGGATGTTATTAATTTAATTAATGCATGAACCACACCTGTGTTAAAGCCCTTGATTTCTATGCACTCTGGGTCTCTTTTACCCAGGTGTTTCCATTTTTTGTCCACTATCTATACCTCTAAGAGGGAAATTAAAGTGTAATGCTTTAACAATGTTATGAATAGTTCCATGAATATACAGTAATAGATCTGCATAGGAACAAGTAAAGATTTATTCTGTGCTGAAGGGAGAAGAAAAGAAACACAACGTTTTGGCGGTGGAGCCTTCTTTCGGTGTGACGAACCTGAAATAGGCTCCACAGCCGAAACATTGTGTTTCTTTTCTTCTCTCTTCAGCATGGAATAAATCTTTACTTGTTCCTTTGTAGCCTACGCATGCTGACGCAGCTGCCTACTTGAAATAGATCTGCAAATCTGTGTTTGACTAGATGACTCAGTTGGTAAAGTACTGTGCTGTGCTCATATGACAAAAGCTTTCACTTTCACCTTTTTGGAGGCATTCCTCGCAGTGCAATTGCACGCTTTTTATATAGAAGAGCAAATGGCAAGAAACACTTTTGTTTGAAGCTGAACATTCATTTGTCATGGTAATTTGTCTATCTTTGCATTCAGGGTGCACGTGTTGGAAGAATAGATGCATTTGTCCAGAGTCTGGACAAGAACTTCATGGTCCCTGTTGGTGGAGCAATCATTGCTGGCTTTGATGACTCTTTTATCCAGGACATCAGTCGCATGTATCCTGGTATGCATATGGATTATCAGTCAGACAAATATCAGGACATTCAAAATTAGGATTTCAGTGTCAGCACTGTCTTATTTGAAAGGCAGTGAAATTTTGAACAGGTTTGCGTTAAGATGTAAGCATCCTTCCGAAGAGAAAATATTGATGAAATCTGAAGTCCTGGCAAACATTAAAATTATTTCTGTCAATATGTTTTTTATTGAGCAATGTACTTCTTTAAAGCCATACTGTATATGACTTAAGATTTTGATTCATAATTAATTCAACAATCCTACTTTCATTTTTTTATTTTGTCCTCCCTGTGTATTTGCCGTCTATAGTATATTCTTGCGGTAAGAAACTTCCAAACAAAATTTCTACATATGTTACAGCAACAAATGACTTCATTTTAAACTTCAGCTTATGTAAAACATATAGACTCCCTCTCAATATCTGTGTTTGTTCACCCCTGCAGAGCACATTGGGTGCACACTTAGGTGAAAATTGTAACTAATAATATTTCCAGCTATGATGAGTCACAGTGCAAGCCAGTGAAAGTCTGAGACGAGTTTAATGAAAATAACCACTTGCAGAGAACACTGAAGGAGACACACCGAAGGTGCGTTTTCTACAGTGCTAACAGTGTTACAAAGGGTTTTATAGTCCAGATTCAGACATGTTTTAGCCATGATTGGGGGTTAAAGAGTCTGAATTCTACTTATCACCAGCAGACATATCACCCTGCAGCTCACAACTGGCAGCCCACTGAAGCTAAGCAGGTGTGAGCCTGGTCAGTACATGTATGAGAACTAAGGTTCTACTGTAAGCGGTGTTAGTGGGGCCAGTAGGGGGCGCTCACCCTGCAGTCTATGTGGGTCCTAATGCCCCAGTATAGCGACGGGGACACTATTCTGTAAACACACGCCGTCCTTCGGATGAGACGTAAAACCGAGGTCCTGACTCTCTGTGGTCATTAAAAATCCCAGGGCGTTTCTCGAAAAGAGTAGGGGTGTAACCCCGGTGTCCTGGCCAAATTTCCCATTGGCCCTTGCCAATCATGGCCTCCTAATAATCCCCATCTAGAATTGGCTTCATTACTCTGCTCTCCTCCCCACTGATAGCTGATGTGTGGTGAGTGTTCTGGCGCACTATGGCTACTGTCACATCATCCAGGTGGATGCTGCACATTGGTGGTGGTGGAGGGGAGTCCCCATTACCTGTAAATCGCTTTGAGTGGAGTGTCCAGAAAAGCGCTATATACGTGTAAGCAATTATTAATTATTATTATTATTATTATTATTATTATTATTATTATTATTATGGTCCAGTGGCTGTTCTTGATGTTATCCCTTTCAGCTATTCCTGTAGTGTTACGCAAAACAGCAGGTGTCTGTTGAAAATCCCCTCAAACCAGATCAGGTGCAATGACCCCAGGCCAGAGTCAGATATCTGCAATAAAATGCTTGAAGTTTAGTAATATTGATCTAATCTTGTTTTAGTCTGTCCTGTTATGTCAAGACTATATGCTGTCTGGAAATATTGTAGTTAAGATGTAATAAAGGTGTAGTTGGCTTATTCCTTTACTGCCATATACAGTATATGATCTGGTTCTTCAATAAAAACAGACAAGAAAAGTAATAGGTTTTTGTAAGGGTTTTTCACATGAGAGAAATGTAGGTGAAGTGGATTGTTAGAAAGCACAGTTTTGGTTTCCAAAAGTTGTCAATAATTGGTGCATTCTCTGGTATAAGATACCCCCTTTGCGCTTTACTCTATAGTAAAAAATATCCACTAAGTCATGTAGCTTTACTGTCAGCAGTGCGAATATCACATGTCTGAGATTAAATTGATTTTCTTTGTACTCAGGCAGAGCATCAGCCTCTCCCTCTCTGGATGTCCTAATCACTTTGCTCACACTGGGAGCTAATGGCTACAGGAAGCTACTTAAGCAAAGGAAGGTAAGACCTAATAATGGTCAGGAAAAACTTTCACTCTCGTTAGACACTTGATCAATTCAAGTCTTAAAATGTTCTGTTTTTCATATGGACATTTTAACATGAAGGCTTTGTGAAAGCCACTCATTGCACAGTGCTAGCCACTGAAATGTCCTAATTGGTTTATGCTTATGGGTGCAATTTAATGAGCGCTCAAGAGCTTAAGCGTGTCAAAATAAGGAAGAAAGTATACTTGAGAAAGATTGAAAACAGCTGCCTCACATTAACTCTTCCATTCACTAAGCAATATCATAAGACAGGGCTCAAACCATTTCCTTCATTTGAGAGTAACTGACTTTTATAATAAATAAGGTTAGGCTCCAGAGTGGCTCTGCCAGTAAGGCACTAATGTCAAAACAGATTGATACCTTTGCTCCAGGTATCCAGGTTTGAGCCAGAGACCATGCCTTTACTCTGCTGTGAACATGATTCTCTTTGTTGTGGGAGACAATAACTGATGTCGCTTGGGTTGGGTGATCGGTACTTGACCAGGGGTTATCGTAGCATTTGGTGCAACCACTGGTCCTCCAGTGGGCAGAGATTCTGCTGTGTGGAGCTGTGGAACCTGCAGTATGTCAAAAAACTAAATGCTTTTCATGCAGGCAAGAATGAAAATGAGAAACACTGAACTGGAAGAAGCTAGAAAATTAAATGCACTACATTTCTATCTTCTCGACAATGTAAGGACGACTAGAAACGTTTTTTGCTTTATAGTTACATTTGTAGAATTTAAATCAAAGCATGTTATGTTAAAAGTGTACAATGCACTACTAAGGCCTCATTAGAATGTTGTAGTGCAGTTTTAGTTACCATGTTAGGAAAAGATATTGCCGCCTTAGGATAAGTTTGGAGAGCAGTGTCCGGATGCAAACAGTGGAATCTCCTGTATTGATGGGCAGAAGGAACTGAATCTTTTTAGTCTTTGACACGGGCAATAACGAGAGGATCTGATTCATGTCCTCTGAATCTTCAAAGGTTGTTCTAATGGACTGTTTCAGAATCAATAGAAAACCACAGGGCACAAGTGGAAACTGTTGAAGTGCATTTAAAAGTAAGAAAGGAGGCACTTTTTACACAAAGGGTTGTGTGAGACTGGAACATGCTACCCAGCTGTGTTGTTGAAGTTGATACGCTGGCTTCGTCTGATAAAACAGTGTAAGACGAGAACTTACAATAAATGCGATGAAATGCTCCCTTTCATTTGTATCCTTTATTATGTAGCTACTTGTCTGAGGATCTTGTCTGTGGGTCTTTATGCTCCTCAACAATAAAAGAACTGCTGTTGCAACACCAAATTATGGACTTACAGTACATCCAGTTTGGGTTGTGTGAGTGTAATAATGTCTGTATGCTGCAGTGTCATGGCAAGGTGATGTGGCAGCTAGCATCACTGCTCTGGATCCTGTATTTGATTCTGGGGTGTCTGCTGTGTGTAGTTTGCATGTTCTCCCCATGTCCAGGTGTCCATGTTTTTTTGGTGCTCCCCTTTCCTCCCACCTTCCAAAGCCAGGCTGGCTAGGTTAGTGTGTCTAAAACCCCAGCATCCTGGCCAAATTTTCCAATCATGGCCTCCTAATAATCCCTATCTATGAATTGGCTACATTACTCTCTGGTCTCCTCCCCACTGATAGCTGATGCGTGGTGAGCATTTTGGCGCACTATGGCTGCCGTCGCATGATCCAGGTGGATGCTGCACATTGGTGGTGGTGGAGGGGAGTCCCCATTACCTGTAAAGTGCTTTGAGTGGAGTGTCCAGAAAAGTGCTATATAACTGTAAGCAATTATTATTATTATTATTATTATTATTATTATTATTATTATTATTAAATTTCCCAGTGTGTGTGTATAAGCATCTCCTGCAATTGGCGCCCTCTTCTGGGTGATGTCCTGCCTTGCGCCCTGTACTTCAGTGATATGCTCTGGGTTGCTGCAGCCTTTAATAAGAGATGATGATGGATTGTACACAAAATTGAGAGACCATGGCTGTTCCAAATTCAAAGAAAAGATACTTTTGCTATTCAAGTTTATTAAAGTGAAAAATATATTTAGATTCACTGCAGCATACAGACATTATTACACTCACACAACCCAAACTAGATGTACTGTAAGTTCATAATTTGGTGTTGCAACAGCAGTTCTTTTATTGTTGAGGAGCATAAAGACCCACCGACAAGATCCTCAGACAAGTAGCTACATAATAAAGGATACAAATGAAAGGAAGCATTTCATCTTATTTATTGTAAGTTCTCGTCTTACACTGTTTTATCACCACAGCAGTAGACTATTTAGAACATAAAACCCATTCTGCAGTCAACCTTATCAAAGATTGTACTTGTAATAGGATTTTTGTGAATTTTCTTCTGGGGTGAGATTGAATGTTTTTATTTAATGTTTTTGAACCAAATTGTGCATAGACTTGACTTAAACAGGCCCATATTAGCAGGACATAATCTTGAGGCTTGTGGGATTCATAGACCCTTGTAAAGGAAATCCCACTCCATTGCATAATCCCAGATGATTGAGGCAGATTGATTTCTGTGTGGCAAAACGTTAATATTTTATTTAGTAACAATGGAAAGGATAGATTAAACAATTGCTTTTGAAGACTAGAGTGGTGTTCTATAACATTTCAAAATATTCACTTAGTCTATTTACATAGTAAAATGTTCCTGCTTTTCTGGTGAGTAATGGTTGGTGGCCTTGTTTTACCACAGAAAACTTAAATGTGGTTATTAATTTGAAGCCTGTAGCCGTGACATTCTTACTTTGGTAAAAATACAAAATGTGTTTTGTGTAAAGGATGAAAAAGGAAATGAAAGTTGTTACTCATATACTGTACTGTAGTGAAGTAGTGATATTTTTGGTACCGTTAGCTCCATGGAATTTACCTGGGTGCAATGCAGTGTGACAGTTGAAAGGAAAAGGAAAACTATGCATGTGTATCATTGAATAAAACACAGAAAATATAAATTCTGAACAGCAACAGTGTTTTGTTTTTCAAATAAAATCTCCTGTTTCAGTTTCAAAGGTGCTTAAATGTTAACTGCTTGTAATATTTAATAATGAAGCTGAATCCCTTGGTTTTGCAGTTTTGATTCCTTCATGCTCCAGCCATTTCAGTTCTAGCATTTTTCAACTGAGCAGCATTGTGCCTCCTGTTCTGGAGACGTGCCAGCGAACTGGAACTTTAACCATTTCCAGGCAAGAAGCGCAGGCCACATTTCATGCATTTATGAAATTCGGAGCTACAGTATATTTTGGCTGGTCCTGTACCTTTTAACTGCTAAGCATTGAAAAGATCCTAAGTATTGACTATCTTACCTTGTGTATATTCTGACATTTACCTTTTTTCTTTTGATTTTGTTTTGTTAAAGCACATAATGTTGAGACCTGTTTATTGAACATGACTGGCTCTATTTATTCAGACACCCACAACTCTTTGTGTTAAGGTGAACCTCCTATTTTCTGTCCTCAGTTCACTCCTTGTTAACTTTCTCTTATATATTCAATGCAGGTATTTAATTGTTGGGCATTAAGTAGTTAATCGGGTTGACTTTGCCAATTGGTAAGCTCTTGGTTTGGATTCCAGAATTTCAATTGTCAGTTCCTTCTCTCTGAGTATTATAATTTAAACATTAGAAAATTAGCCCTTATTGAACAGGGTAAGGACAGTGTTGTTAAATGTAGGGTGATGCAAATGAAAGAAAGTAGTTTATGAGTGAACAGTACAGTGGTGGTAAACACTGCTACCTCACATCTCCAGTGTTCTGGGTTCAATTCTGGTCTCAAGTGTATGTGTGGTGGTTGCTTGTTCTCCTTTTGTTCACACAGGTCTTTTCCACATGCTCCTCAACCTTTCAGAGATTTGCTGTTCAGGTTTGTTAGGCTAATCTGCATTTTTTAGTTGTCCCTTTTTTTGTCACCCAGCTGTGAACTGGCCTGCTGTCCAGGGGTAGAGCAGTCAGCTGTGAGTGCTTTCAGTGAGTGGAAGGCTTATGAAGGATTGCCCAAAAGTCATGTAAAAAATGTTAATCTGGACCAGATTTATTATTTATTTGCTTTGCAGACTCCCTAATCCAGGCCACTTTGTACCTGCAAGGATACATTTAAAACAAATTATAGGAAAGTGTAAAATATAATTATGCGTCTATTTTTTCAAAACACTGGAAGCTTAATGTTAACCCCCTCTTTTGCTGAGAACATACTGTTCCCAGGAAGGAAGCAAGGTTAAGAAGCGGTTATATAGGCTGCTAGCTAACATTGAAAGCTCAACAAATTAATAAAAATGAAAAATGTTACCTCATTTTCTGTAGTGCTCTGCTTATTGAACATGGCCAATTTCCAGTTTCAGGGATACTTCTGTACCCTCCAGGCTGTGGCTGATAAACCCCTTGCTCAGGATTTTTTTGTTATTTATTGTGATTTATTTTGATAACCCAAGTTGGTACTGTTATTATATTTTGTTTCTGTGATGTGTTTTGATTTTGGGTGTCTGAAAGGCTTTAATCTTTGATATTTAAAAAGAAGGAGTTGCATCCATTTAAAGTCTTTAATCCCGATTTTTTTTTTACAGTTTGTCTTAAATTAATCAGATCGAGTGAAGAGTTAACACAGTTTATTTTTTTCCATTTTTGTATTCAGCAAGTTATCTAGATAGGAAAATAACATGACTTCCTGGAGGGATGGAATTGCTAAATTGGCAATAAACTGCCAGTACTGCAGGGGAAGGGAAAAAAACGGCTGTTGTAGTGCTATTTTTAGAAATTCAATTTCATTGCTTCTAGGAAATGTACACCAATCTGGCTGAGGAGTTGAAAAAACTTGCAGAGACACATGGAGAAAGGCTGCTGGAAACATCTCACAACCCCATTTCTTTGGGTATGTCTTTCCTGGTAAACTAATGAACCAAATTAAATATTTAAATAATATTCTCAAACAGTGTCATGTACCATTTTCTGTCCAGTTTATTTCTATATAAATGAAAATTTTACCATTTTATTTCTTTAGTGTTTTTGACTTTATTATGCTCATTTCTTGAGCTTCTAAGAAGCTTGAAGATTTTACATTGAAGCACAGACATATGGTTGTTTATTTTACCTAATGAGCAGTCGTTAAATATTAGGTTATAATAATTAAGACAATATTTGTATCACCACTTGTGATTGTGTCATTTAAACCTAATTGTACATGCATTAAACATACTACTCCAACAGTTGTTTACTTACAGTGGTTAGCCCACCTAATATTTAACTTATACTGTTTGCTAACAAATGTGTTATTACAAATGTTAGTAAACTGCTATAATTTCTAATAAAATCCTCACATTTCTTGCTGTAATACATTTTCTTTAACATAGATCATAAGACAGTTGCAAACTTTCCAAATTCAGAGATTTGTCCAAATATCTAAGGTAAAAATTATTGATCTCAGCAAATTTTAGTAATGATTATAAAAAATCGGTAGCACACCTCATTTTTTATGTGTTGTCCATCATCTAGAAGGTAAAAGGTGTGGTTGTTGACTCACATCCAAGAGGAAAATTTGAAAGCCCCTCAAAAACTTCCAGTCTTCAAGACTTCTGTTTGTGGATGATCTCACAGATCTGATGTCTAGGACAGATATCTGTGACAACAACAAAAAAACAACAAAAACAAATGGGAAATAATTCACTCCCAAATCAAATGTGACCATACAACTTAATTTGGATTAAGTACGAATTTGAGTTCCTGGATAGTTGCACTTCTGTAATGATTAGCACAAAATGATGAAACTCGTATGGATAAAGAATTAAAAATGAATTAAGAATGTTATTTTAATTTCTTGTCATGAAGGTTTGGGATATTGTAAATGGGCATTCAGTCTTGGCCTGTTAAAACCCTTGCATTCTTCCTTTTAATTCCTTTAGCCATGTCACTCTGCAGCCTAGAGAAGCAGAATGACAGAGCTGTAACCCAGCTGGGGTCAATGCTGTTCACTAGACAAGTGTCCGGAGCCAGGTAAGCCCTCAGAATCCAGACTGCCTGTCGTAAGCACTGGAAAGGAAAATAATTGACTTCTTGCAATCAGCAGTTCTGTAATTGGAGTCTAATATCCGGCAAATCAATGCTGGCTCTTGGTCACAGCATTTGTATTTTGTTGGTGAATTGTACTGTACTGCAAGCTCTATTAACTCTCATGGTAAGGGGGACTCTGAACTGTTTAAAAACAAAATGTCCCTTCACAAACACCAGGAATGAAATCCACAAGCACAAGGCTTAGATAATAGAGGTCTGTTTTTGTCACAATTCCCTTTTTTCTACTTTTACTTTCACCATTATAAATCACTCTTTGGTCTTTTTTTCCACAAAAACATTACTCTTAATGATGAAATCCTGATCTGATGCTAAAGTATGGTGTTTTAGTTCTTAAGAGTCACGGTTCCACAAATTTGCTTCTTTAAATCATTATTTAGTCAAAGTCTGTGTATCGTGCAAAAATATCTCACATACAAGTTCTCTAATTAAAGTTGAAGTTGAATGAAAATTAGAAGACACTGCAGTTCTCAAAGGCTAGCCTAAGGCCTTTTACACTCACTTTAAATTTAACATTTATAAACCTGTTTTCGTGCCTTCTCAGGTTATAATGCTACTTGATATCTGTCTCTACTTTAATGACTCCATTGCTATAGTACTCTAATCAGATTTTTAAGAGAAGAGTTAGAGATCTGCTAACAGAACAAGAGGATAGTGACCATTAGCATAGCAATGAAGTCATTCTTTAAAATGCACATCAATTTACAAATTAACTTAGGCATTTGCAATCGATTTTCTTTATTTTATTTTGTAACTGTTATTACAGTCAAAATGGTTTTATCTGCTCTTCTTATTTCAGGAAAGAGAATCCACACTTGGAATGTGTTCAGGGTTTTTGACTAGGCCCTTTTCTAGATGTCTTGTGATGTTTCAGGATGATAAATAAACCAGAAGAACACAAAACATACTGTACAGGTTGACTCATTTGATGTAGTTTAAGAGAGGTAAAATAAAATCACATTGGGAAATAGATTGCACATGTAATTGGAACCTAATTCAAAATCAGCCACAACATTACAAAAAACTGCCACATACAGTACTGTAGTGCTCCGGGGTTCACGTGGGTATGCGCCCTGGCTGCTGCCACCTCAGGTCGGCCCCCCACCGTCGGGGACTCGAACCCGGGCCTCCGGCATCACTCAACAGGGACCCAGCCAGTTGAGCTAAAGGGAAATCTCCCGTCACAGGGAAGGGCGGTGACGTCACCGCCCTGGTAAGCCGGGTCGCACAACCAATGATGGCCGTATGCGTTACAGTACACATACTGACACTTGCACTACCACGCTTACACTGTTGACCAAAATTCTTTATTATTTGGTAAAGGAATGCTTTCCATGACACAGAAGCCATTGGGCATTAACAGAGGAGGCAGTGTGTGAAATCTTTCAGATTTGAATTTTTATTTGTGGTTAGCAAAATAACACATGGTTTGGATTTTGTAGTATGTTCGCCTTTGTCTTACTGTAAGTCTTATTATCGGTATGTGAAGATTTTTGTAGTGGTTTAGAGTAGTTATGTAATATAATTGCGTGGATAATAGTGAAGAGTAGAGTAGCTTTTTTCACACTTTTCAACAGAAATTGCATACAGTATATATAAATTATTTCCTTTGAATATGACTGTCTCACATTTGTCTTGTAGAGTATTCATGGTAAATTATCATGTATAAAATTTTAGACTTCAAGACGATTAAGGTGCACTAATACCATATTGCATCAAATCCTGCTTTATTTGGGTAGTCAACCTTTATTTTATGCGTCTCTCTGCATATCTGATCATCTCGATTGTTTTTCTTTTTTGTTTGTGATGAAAACTCCCCCGCCTCAACGTTGTCTCTGTGTTTCAGGGTCGTTCCACGCGGGACTGAACAAACAGTGAGCGGGTATACTTTCAAGGGATTCATGTCTCATGCCAACGACTACCCATGCCCTTACCTCAATGCTGCTTCTGCCATTGGAATCACCAAAGAAGATGTGACCCTGTGTATTAAGAGACTAGACAAGTGCTTGAAGACTTTCAAAAAAGAGAAATGTGACCAGTCAAGCACACTTGAGACTAGTCTGACAGGGAATGAGGGAGATCCCTGTGAGTGAGTCGAGAGTCTGTATGAAGACTTTTAGTGCTTTGGAAAGCATATGACTGTTAAAGTCATTTAAATTAAAAGACGGAACAATGAACAAGAGTCACTAACTTTTTTTGTAGCAATACAAATGAACTGCTTGATCAAAATATTAATGTCCCCTGAAATGTGTATTATTTCTAGTGAACATTCTAATATTTTAGATCATTACTGGAATCCAAGGGCACTGTGACAGTGCATGACCAACAATATAATTATACAACAAGTCCCTTTGATGCAATGAGATGATGGTGTTGTATCACTGACACCTGCAATATTTCAGTAGTTTTGGTGGGTTTTAAGACGTCAATCCCACAGTAGGCATTCAAAGGTCTTGATCTTAGAAGCTCTGCCAAGTCCTACTGTGTAGAAATCAGACCTTTAGCAACTCCTAATGAGTTTCTGCTTCAAAGTAAACTAGCTTGTCTACTATACTGCTTCATACTAAACAGATAATATATCATTCAATCACATTTCAAGAATTGTTAAATTAATATGGTCCGTCTTCTCGATGGATTGACTGTCTTCTGACTCCATTTCCTGTGACACACATTAGGACCTGTTTAAAAGACTGTTACATTAATCTGAGCACAGTTAGTCATCTACAGGTAATACAATAACTATTGTTTAGACAGAAATAAAAAGGCACTAGGGTTTCTATAACCAATTTGAGAAATTTCTTGTACTCTTTGGTTTTCTGTAGCACGGACCTAAAATAAGTTAAAAAATGTTTCTTAATTATTACTTAAAAGTTAGTAGGTCTTGGTTGAAACATTTCAGGTAAATGCAGGTTTACTTCATCTATATATTATTTTAAGTTTCTTTTTTGTCCAATGGAAGAATACAGGTTTTGAAAAGGACCTACACTATTAGTCTTGATCATTGAATTTAGTAATAACCTGGTGCATATCTTACATCATAACACAATAAAAAAATAACATTCAGTGCTAGCTTAAGATAGTTTCTGTCACGCCCTTTGTAGCCAGAGGGCGCTCCTTTTCTGTCCTGTCTCTCATTTCCGGTTCTTTGCTGTCCTTCCGGTGTCTCTCTCTCTGGGGCTATATATTTCCGGGTCTTTCATTCTGCCTTTACTCAGCATTGACGTTCGGATGTCCTGAAACCCGCCTAGCACCAGGTCGCCCCACGTCCACTACCTGAGGGCATAGGTTTCTGTACGGCATTCCGTGAACAGCTGAGCCCGGGCTAACCCCCGTCTCACGGCTACGCATAGGGTCTTTTCGCTCTCCTGCCATTCTACGGTTCATCCCTTCCAACATCCGTGACAATTTCTATCAACTAAAGCATACATTTTAAACAAATTATTGGAAAAGTAGCTGTAAATTACTGTAGTATCCAGAAGTACTGTATGTCTTTCTGTCAATAATGTCCAATTACCTATTAATGTCTTCCCACCAGAAGTGTGCAATATACTGTACGTATGTACCGTAAATACAAATACAATCCATTAATGGAGGTAAAACCTTTTTCAAAATTAAGAATCTTAAAAATTTTCAAGGTACCTTTTCAGCTACAGATTTTAAAAAAGTGATCCTTTGGATTCCCAGTAAATGACAAGATCTGGTAGCAGTTGGAAATACAGCCAGTGAATAGAACTGAATGCATAGTGGCCTCAAGCCAAAGGAAATGCAGGTTGTTCAACATTTGCGTCACAGATGGATGGAAGGGATAAGAGGTTCATTGATCCCAGTTCTTGATCCAATTAAACTCTGTTAATCGTCGCTTTCACAACCTTTTCTCTATGACAAGCTATTTGTACAGTCAAAAGGTAGTATCAAATAATGGCTTTTTAATGCTGGGAAACTGTTTTAAACAGTTCACGCTTAACCTCTTCAAGGAGTGAACCTTGTTCTTTACAGAGGAATCTACAAATTAATAACCAAGTTGGAGAAGCAAATGTGCTCTCCGATAATGATCATCGCCAGTTATTATGCCGATTCTTTTATGTGTGGGAGTTTTATTAAGTTTTGATATTTGTGCATTTAAATGTGTTGACGTGCCTTGAATTCAATAAAAATGATTTCTTTAAAGGAAGTATTATAATTGTATTTCAATAGACTAATGTTTAGAAATGTTCCCCTTAAAGCCTTTGTTTATCATCTGTCAGCACTATATCTGATTACAAAAAAACAGTGTTTGCCAAGTATACTAATCTTTTTTGCCCAGCACAAGACAGCCGTATGATCCCCATTGGGTTTTTCAGATCAGGCTGATGTTCAGTTGTCCAACAATGCCAATAAGCCAGCTAAGCACTTTGGTCAGTAGTTTGAAATATTGCTTTGAGTGGAAAAGATAATTACTTTTTTTATAAATGTTTTATTAAGGCTTCTCAAGGATGCCAAGTTTTTTTTGTCCATGTACCAACGGTTGTAGCATTTCCTTTGGTTCAAGAATAGATATTTAGTCACCAAGGATTTGTGACTGTACTGCCATAGTGAATTGATATCTGTGGTGACGTGGTAAGGACTACTTGGAAAGACTGAAATATAATTCTACCTCATATTGAGAAAGTGCAGGCCATGAATGCCATAAATGTATTTTACTGTAGAAAGAGTAACAACGTTAACCTGGAGAACTGGCTTTCCGTGACAACTGATCTACAGCCCTAATTCAAAATCATGGCAGTCAGTCTCAACATATTTCATCTTTCCTCACTAATTTCAGACATGGGGAAAAAACTTGGTACAGTATATTCTGAAAGCTGTGAGAAGAAACACAGTTATGTGGCATTATGTGCTTTAACAGTGCATAGTAATGACAATACTGTATGTCTTTATAGTAAAATAATATGAAATCTTGCTTACAGGTAGGTGAGGAATTTTACATATACTGCCGGTGTTAATTCAACCCCAAAATAATTAACTGATCAATTCTGACTGTTTGGTCTGACAATAATATCCTATATATTCTTGTGTCATGTTTTATTACTTTAAAAAATCAAAATAACAAGTTTCAAAAGGAAACGATTTTCAATCTTCTGTCCCGCAGCACTATAACAGTGATATATACAACTTGAAACTGTAGCTTGTGTACTTTGGAGATATTTATTGCTATTTCAAAGTAATGATGGTGCAAACCTTAAGGCAAATAAATGTGAAAACTTGCAAGAGTCTGAATACTTTTACAAGAAATGTTTGCACTGTAAAATAGGAAGATCTGGGTATTGCTAGTAAAGAATCTGTGACATGTAATGTATATTCTTGTCAACTTATAGGTTTATGAGAATTTCACTTGTCTTTTCCCTCTGTGTAGGGTTAGTTAAGTTTCATAGAATAAGAAAGGATGAAAAACTTGCATTTGTATGTGGTTTTATTATCTGATATTTTGGTACCATTTTTTTCATGCTTTACTGTTTATTTAATGTTTGGTCATGTGAACCTGAATCTTATTAAATGCTGTACATGATTCTTTCAGATCACCATATTTTTGATTGGTGATTTATTTTGAAACCATTCCATTTTAAAGCCATGTGTTATTTTTGACTTATGACTCAAAACACTCTTAGACTGGAAAGGAAGGAATTAGTGTTTAATTACAAAATAAAGTTTAGGTTCCATGTCCCACAGTGCCTACTCAAGAGCTTGTATCAATTCTGGGACACATGTGTCTCTTCCTAACCTGTAAGCTCACAGATGCCAGCCAAATGCAGGATACCCTGGTGGACACAAGCTCACCCTCCCTTACAGTACTTAAGCAGCACACAAGTGTCCATCGGGGAATTCTGGACTCAGCTGCTTAGCTGAACTTCAGGTTTAGTTAAGCCAGACTTGATCTGATGATGTACAGTACTGTATATGACTAGCATTGTATTAGTCCTTATGTATAAATAAAAATCAATTCTGATAATATGTACATAATGTACATATATGTAATTATCTAAAAAAAACAGTTTTAAAGCATGGAGCAACTCCTCCAATATAATCTGTTAACAGGCTTCTGCACATTTAAAATAAAGACCTTTGTTAAAATCAAAACGTGATGAAAATTGAATTGCCAGTGAGGTTGTAGCTTCACCTTTAATATCTACTGTACATACTCCTGACATATGGTTTGTTCACAGCAATGCATAATATCATTGCAAACCATACTAGCATATGATTAATGAAAGAGGTAGGTACTGTAGTTTTAATGCAGTGTCTTTGTCTCCACATAAGTTTTACGTTTCGAGCTGCTTCATAAATCATGTACCATTTTATTTTCCTTTTGCAACCTGCTGATAAGACATAATTCTCCTTTTGTGTTTCATTTTTGCTGTCTGCTGCTGACTTTGCATAGACACCATCTCAGTGGTTGAGTAAATTCCTTAAGCTATACTTTCTTTGGATAATACTTTGAAAAGACTGTATTGAGTATGGTCTATTCTGAAGAGAATAAATTTGAAATTGTATGCTATACTTTTGAAGTCTACATTAAGTTATTGTTCATTACTTACAGGACTTAGATGAGAGAGAGAAACAGCTATATTGTACATGTAAAAGAGAATATATATACTGTACATAGCAGTGTGAAGTTTTTAAGATCAACTTAAAAAAATAAAATTAGAAAGTAAGGTCCTGACACCATTTGTCCTTGCAAGCTGTTTATCAATGTTAATCATATACCCCTTCAATCAAAGAAACCAAGTGGTAACACTTTTTCTTTGTTCTCTTGCACAGTGAGGTAACAAATGAATAAACCAGGCATGAAGCTTGAAAAGATACATTTTTTAAAAAACAACCATATATTGGTACAAATAGGTAGTTCAAGTAGGTACTGTACCTGTGTAGGCTGCAAAGGAACATGTAATGTTTTACTCCATGCTGAAAAGAGAAGAAAAGAAACACACTGTTTCGGCTGTGAAGCCTTCTTCGGGTGTGTGTTAGTACAAATATTTACAAAATTTTCAGGGTCCCTCCTTCTACATATACAGGAAAATGGAATCTTATCCATAACTGTCAGTTATGAATTAAAAATCCTGCATATGACTAAATGTCTCTTAAGAAGAATAAATAAAGGGGATTTTTTTTTCCCTAATCCAAACAGTACATTTCAAAAGGCATGAGAAATTATTTTACGGACTGGTTCATATCATAAATAGAAAATACGATTTTTTCGCTGTTACAGTGCAGTCTGTACGTATTTGGACAGTGACACAATTTTGTTGTTTTGTGTACTGACATGACATATACATTTTATTGTTCCACCTTGACATTCTGCAGAAAAGGTGACATGGCCAGGCCATAACATAAGGTATTCCTTGTCTCTGTTGCCTTTTCATGTCATGAATCATCTTCCCTGACATCCTCACACCTTTTTACTGCTTTAGAGTTGGTATTTGGGGATGTCGTAAAACAGCAGCTTTATTGCTCAATCACCAATAGTTTCCTGTATATAAAAACTATTTGTGATTATGTCAAGGAAATTGGCGACTTTGCAAAAAAGGAATGAATGGGGTTGATGGTCATTTTAATGTTCTAAAATTGTGTAATCTAATTGTCTTTAAAAAATGACCCAGGTACTGTGAAATTAAACACTTTTTACAATAAAGAGTAAAAGAAGTTTAGTTTGTTCCGTAATGTATTCCGTTTTGTGGAAACACAAAATAATTTACTGCAGAAATGCATTTAAATCTTATTTTGAAATGTTCAACTTCTGGCCAATCAGCTTCCTCACTGATGGACCAGCACGATAGTCAACAGTACCTTGGGATACAGGATCCATGGTTCCATCTCATGTTGTATCACCAAACCTGTGAAAATTATGAGCATTTTAACCTCCATAGTTGCGTTCCTTTCCCCACGCTCTTTCAAACTACATTTGTTTGTGATACAAATAGACAGTCTACGGTATAAAACAGTGATGAGACGATGTTTGTTGCAGAAGAGGGGACATTCTAATGCAATCACCCCACACTGTACAGTGACGGTTTAATGTTAAATGTTTCATTTCATTAGGAAGCTTGCCAATGAAGATACGCATTGTACATAGTAATTTACAGTTTAGGGAAACAGATAAAGCACATACAGCCAAAGTAATATACTGTACGAATTAAGTCTATCCCTTCTAATAAACTGGGATTTTGCAAGGACATCATTCGCTGTCCGAGGTGCTGATTCCAAGTTAGTCGAGAAACGCCACTGTCCTTGAAACTACTTTCCTTCAGTTAGGTAACCGCGTTGCAGAGGCGTGTTTTTCAGTAAACCACTGAAAGTCAGTGAAATCAACGTTTTAAAGATATTTGAAAGTAATTTTACAAACCAATGGAAGTGCATATAATAGCCAATACCCGTTCACATAATTATATAATATTACAATGAAATAAATACAAAGAAATCATTTAAACGTATACTGATTCGGTGAAGAGTCTTTTAAATTCAGATTCTGATTATTTGGGAGTTCGTTGTTTACTGATACGTTTTAAAACAGTTCCATACGCTAGCAAATACTATATACAGTACATGGAAGGTCGCATTAAGCCTTTGTTTTTTCTTGCTAATGCCGGTACCGGTTTTGTAAGTAAAGGGACATAAAAAGTACAAGGGGGTGGGTTAAAAATATTTTAGTCCAGCCCAAGTAGCGTGTTTAATAAATTATTCATCTGACAGAGGAGCTGCAGCTCAAATGCTGATGTCAGGAGTTCAGTGCAGCATTTCATGGTGCAGGGGTGTAAGAGGTTTGTTCGCAGCGGAGCTACTGTACCTTCCCATCACAGCAACCATACACATGCAAGTCTGGGAATCGAGATGTCTCGCAGTAAACAGTTTTTATTTTTTTCTTTGGTATTTTTGTACCTGGTTCCCGCAGTGAATCTTAAAAGGATTTTCAGATGCCCTTCTGCGTGCACTTGCTCCAAAGAGTCCATTATTTGCGTCGGCTCTTCATCTGTCCCACGGATTATCCCTAATGACATCAATTCCCTGTAAGTAAATATTGTTCTGTTACACATTGATAGTTATACCCCGCGTACTGTTAAACATACATTAGTTATTTTCTGGTGCTAACCATGCTTTTGACGACAGCCACTTATCATTTACTATACATTTTTCGAGTTAATAAAATTGAAGAGACTGATTTATAAATAATTAGACAAAGTGTGGTTTGAATTGAAGTGCTTTGATCGTGTTTTAAAATATGATGATAAATTGAGCAGTGTGGAATTTGCCTTTTTATTTTAATTGTATAGTAGAGTCAACAACGTGGTAACTGACGTTTCAAGGATATTCACGGTGAAAACCGTACTGTACCTTCAAGGGGTCACGAAATTGAATATTAAGCAGAATAACAAGTATTGCTATAACAATTTGACTTTTTGTGTTTGATGTTGAAATGTTTTATGTGTTGTTGTTTTTCAGGAGTATTGTAAATGGAACCTTTTCCGAAATTAAGGAGGGGATGTTTTCACATATGCCTTCTTTGCAGCTACTGTGAGTACAAAAATATTAAACGAGTACTGAAGTGCTGAGGTGACCGCATGTTAGATCTAATCAATATTTAGAATGCAATGCAATTTAATATCTTTAACTAGACTGCAGAGTAAAACCATGAGCTTTACATGTTTTTTTTTTCTTTCTGCCAGTAATAATGTGACCTCTCAGTGTAGGAACACTAGTTAAGTTGAAAATGGCAAAGGACTGAATACGAGTACGACAGTTTCAATACTGGCTCCAGCAATACTATCGATCCAAGAATGGACTTGAAATATACTATAAAAATGTACTTCATTTTACGTTTAACATTTAAACAACAGTGCTTTGGAGCCCTTAACATAATGTGCTGAGAAACATTCGCACATTTTGCTGTTTTTCTTGATTTTCCTACTGTATATCGTGCCTCTTCATTACCATCACTTCAACTTCAAAGTTATTATGTTTTCAAAGAACTTTACCCTAGTAGGAAACACAGTAACACAGTTTCTTTGCAGAAAGAAAACTCTTCTGTGCTTCATTTTGCCAAAAAAAAAAAAAGTTCACATGAGTTTAGAGAAAAAAAAGATTGACAAAATTGCGTAGTATTGCTTGGCGAAAAGTGTTAAGATTTCAAATGAAATAAATGCAATATTCAAGACTGTGACAGTAATTGTCAAGAATTGGGACCCAGGATTTTTTTTTTCTTTTTCCTCCAGGTTGTTGGCTGTATAAGTAATCCTGGAATATGTTTCTGGGATATTTTTTATCATGGTGACTACAACTGTATACAACACTGTGAATGAGGTCTTAGTAGTGCATTGTGTAATTTTATCATGCATTGATCTAAGTCTACACCTTTGAATTGTATACCCTAACAATCTGTTTAGCTTTCTATGGTTTCACTAATTCTGTTCACTAGACCAGTGAACCCGGGCCCTTAATCACTAGATGTAACTGGTGCCAGTAACTTCACGTCTTGTTTGATAAAAGCTCCATTTACGATTTCAAAAATACCTTACTGGGTGGTGCAGTGTTGCAATGGTTATTGCCTCACAGAACTGGGGGCTTGAGTTTCATTGTCAACCTGGGGTGCTATCTGTGTGGAGTTTGTATGTTCTCCCCGTGTTCATGTGGGTTTCCTCTGGGTGCACCGGTTTCCTCACACAGTCCAAAGACATACTGATAGGCTAAGTAGCTTCTGGCAAGAAAATTGGCCCAGGTGTGAGTGTCTGCATGTTTGTTGGCTGTGTGTATGCTTAATGATGGACTGGCATCCCACCTTAGGTGTTTACCACACTGTGCTCCCTCGCTACCCTTAATTGGATGAAGGCATTAGTAAATGAATGTATGGATGGAAGTCATGTTATTTGCCAAACTGCTTTATACCATACGGCAAGCAACGAGCACAAGGCAGGGTACACCCTGGATGGAACACCAGTTCATTGCAGGGCAAGTGCAAGCCAATCACACATGGGGAACAATTTGGATGCCACAATAAAGGCCAAGGGGGAAGATTGGGCCCAGAAACTGGGATAACTCCCTACTCTTATCAAGAAATTTCCAGGGATCTTTAATGACTGCTGAGATTCAGGATCTCGGTTTAACATCTCATCCGAGAAACGGCGCCCACTACAGTATAGTGCCCCTGCCTCTATACTAGGACATTAGGACTCACACAGACCGCAGGGTGGGCACCCCCCACTGGTTCCACTAACACCACTTCCAACAGCAACCATAGCTTAGTCTCCCATCCATGTACTTACCAGGCTCAGCCCTGCTTAGCTTCAGTGGATAGCCAGTTGAGAGCTGCAGGATGATATGGTTGCTGGCCTATGGATGGAAGTACTCTAGTTAAAGTACATTATTTTCAACAACATCAGCGGACAGTGTTTCATACACTCTCCTCAAACTTGATAATTAAGAATACGTGCCCTTATTCCTGACCACAAATCTCTTCATTGATGTTAATTTTATGTAGAACAAACTCAGGTAGGAACAACAGACAGTATTTAATCCCCAGTTGATCTCATGCCAACTCAAACACCTGAATGAGTTTCTTATTATTTAGTACAAGGTTGGCACCAATCCCATAGGAGTTCATAAGAATTGAAAGCAAATTTTAAAATAGAAAATTGAAATCAAATAGCCTGTGTGATTAATTTATTTACTGAAGCAAAACTTGGAGGACTCAAGGATCCCTCAGAACCAAGATTCAGATTCAGGTTTGACTGGTTTAGAATATGATAATGATGTGCCGACATAAGCTCCTGTCGTTTTATATAAGTTGCTTCTTCAAGCTCAATGTTTGTCATCTTATATTCATATTTTACTTTTTCAGTTACTTGTGTTTAACTTTCTGCATATGTCTTAACAAAATGTCTCCTGTCAGGTGTTTGCCCAGTTAAAGTTTGTCTGTCACAGATGGTATCATCTGTGAGCTTGACTGGTTTTAGGATTTAGTAGCTATACCAAAATCTTACTTGTTCAAATAAATGTGGAAGATAAGTGGTCCTAATACAGATCCCTGATGTTCTTTACTAATTAGATCAACCAGTTTTAGCATACTGTACATCCCTAATGCATCCATACTCTGTTCTTTTTTATCCATTCATTAGTTTTCAATTTAAACATATCAAGAGACATTAGCTCAACAAATTGGTATTTTAGCTAATAGCATTTGTTGTTTTTAATGTTTCTGAGTATAAATGCAATACCTTGATATTCTACAACCTGCATTTAATCTGTTATGAGGTCCTTTGAAAACCTAAAATATAACAGTGCCTTACCACACTCTGTACTCAGTTTTATAGTATATCCATTACGTCTGTTGCTTATCTAAGGTGTAGTAATTTAAAAAGATTTGTGTTTTCTAAATCCATGCTGACTATCTTCTAGAATCCTTTAATTAATTAATTATCCCCTAGAATCCTATATAAGATGATAAGAATAGCCATTGTTGATGTGCCCTTACCAATATACTATATAGCATGATTCAGTTTAGCTCCCTGTTTAAAATTAATTATCTGTGCCCTTTTTACAGGCTTCTTAATTCAAATTCATTCACCACTATAAAGGATGATGCATTTTCTGGGCTTCCACACCTTGAATATCTGTGAGTATTTTACTTAATTCTAAGAGTGTAATACATCTCTGTATATTCAGGTAATGTGTCACATCAAGCCCATTAAGTTGTCACTGTTAAGAAAACATTAAAGATTTTCATTAATATTAATACATGAAAGAGAGATGGGAAGAGATAAATAGAATAGAAAAGGAATGGAAATAGAAAAGGAATAGAAAAAAAACATTGTAATATAGAGTAAGCAGGATTGATGATAGGAATTAATAAGTTTAGTGGACAAAGTAAAGTACAAAAAAGACAAAAACACAGTGTTTGGTCAATAGGTCTCTGTCCACTGTGTTTGAATAGTCTCAAGACCAACTTGTTTATTTATACACCTCCTGTAGGTTTGATATCACAATCTGAGCCTCTGTTGGCACAGGGAGAAGCTCTGTTCTTTTAAATGTCGTAGACAGGAAACGGTTATGGAAAGAGGGTAGACTCAGTACATACTGTAGATATTATAAACAAGTGTAAAAGCCCGCAGATGTTACTATGTGTGGAGAGCTTAGATGTGACCTTTCCACCTACCTACAGTAGCTACTGTAGCTGTTTTGCTAGCATCTAGGTGATCAGGAGATCTAATTAGCTGGGCATCAACTTTAACAACATGGCTGGGCAGCTTGTCTGTGGTCTGGTCTGTGGTCTGGTCTGCGCTTCACTATTGATTATGTAGAAATCTATTTTTTTTATATTTGTCAGTCTCTTTGAAGATTTTGAATGCCTGAATCAGGTCCTGCCTTAATCTTCTCCATTCAGAACTAAAGAACTATTAACTCTGTTAATTTCATATTAATAACAAAAGTTATTAGGTTTTCTTTGGACTGAAAGTAATATTTCATAACATGGTCATTATGAAATGTGCAAAGTATTGTAAATAAATTCTTAGTAATGTACTGTACAGTTTTAACATAGCATCCCTTGATTTAAATGATACCTTTAACTGTATATCCTCACATGTACAGTATTTTGCATTTTTATTGCTTACTTGTATTGTCTGGAAGAGGAAAACAATGATTCAACATAAACTCCTTACTGTTTTTAATCGGCATTTCGAAGCTGTCTTTTCAATGTATTCTTTGTGGTTCATATTATTCCTGCCTGCTCCTAACACTTCCACCTGTCCACGTTAAAACCATTTGCATTCAGTACTGCTGTCAGCTGAATTCTTATACTTGAAAAGATCAGATCAGATCACTTCATTGGCCACATACAATTTCTTGCATTAGGAATTTGTCTTTTCAC